AAGGTGTACAGCACCGTGCCTAGTCAAGATAATCTTTTTAATGTTCAGACTGTTTTTTGTTTTGTCTCTGATACAAAGACAGCTTATTTAATTTTATGCTTGGGACATTTATCTTTCTCTCAAAGAGAGGCCCTGGAAGTAGAATGATGTGGCCAAGTGTTTGTGCTTTTCAGTGCTTTTCTCTTCCGCTCGATCTGGGCCTGTCACCGAGTGAGGGACTCTGTCACCCAGTAAGTCTTAGTTTGGGAAAGAGAAACAGCAACACAGGTTGTTCTTCCGCATCTCCCATTGGCTGATCAGAATGAGTGACACTGGGCTTTCTGAGCAGGAAGGAGTTTTTTTATTTCTATTTTGTCATTTATTGAGTGTGAGATGTTTGTAAGGAGATTTCTATGTCCTCTTCATATAGGAGATCACCCTCTTGTCACAATTATTTTGAAATTTAAAAAGTTTATGATTTCCCGGTTAGGATTTTGGGTAACAGTGTTATAAGAAGTAATTCACATAGTGCACGACCCCCTCTTTAAAGAGGTCAGCTCCAATTTTTTGTTTGTCTTTTCCTCCATTTCTTTGAGGGAATTTCTCATTTCCTCTTTAAGAGTCTCAAACATTCTTCTGAAGTTGGTTTTTAGGTCATTTTCTTCTGCTTCATCTATATTTGGTTGTTCAAGCCTTGTTGTATGGTCTCTAGATTTTACTGGTGTCATGTTGCTCTTTGTGGTGTTGCATGTGTTCTTACCTTGTCTGCTCATCTTTTCCTCTAATTGGTGTGGTTATGGCTGTCTGTGACTCTGGTGATTAATCTTCTAGGTGCCAGTGAATCCAAGGCTCAGGTAGTTGTTCTTCGTGGTACTGTCAGTGCCATGGTTCTAGTTACCCTGCTGGTTACTTCATGTTCCTGAAAGTCACTCAGTGCTCCCAGGATTTGCTCCACTCCCATGGAGTTTGCTGTCTCAGGCCTGCTCTGGCCTAGGTTGCTGGTTCAGACTTGTTTCTGTAAATGTCCCTGGTCTGGATCCATTTCTGTAGAGGTCCCTGGCTTGGGGTTGGTCCTGCAAAGGTCTCTGGCTCTAATCTACTCCCTCGGAGGTCCCAGACTCAGTTGTGCCTGATCCTCAGAGGTCCTGGCTCAGGCCTACCCCTCAGAGGTCCCAGATTCATGCTCAGACCTGCAGAGGTTCCAGCTAAGGCCTAGTTCCTCAGAGGTCCCAGACTCATGCCTAGACCCTCAGGGGTCCTGGCTCAGGTCTACTCCCTCGAAGGTCCCAGATTCATGCTGCCAGACCCACAGCAGTCTCTGGCTCTGGTCCACTTGCTCAGCGGTTGCTCCCCTGTATCTGCTCCCATGGAGCTGGTCGCCTCAGGCTTGCTCCCGCCTAGGTCGCTGGCCCAGTCCTGCTTCTGCCAAGATCAAAAACACTGATGACAACTTATGCTGGAGAGGTTGTAGGGTAAAGGGAACACTCCTGCATTGCTGGTGGGAGTGCAAGCTGATACAGCCCCTTTGGATGTCAGTGTGGCGATTTCTCAGAAAATTAGGAAACAACCTTTCTCAAGACCCAGTAATACCACTTTTGGGTATGTCCAAAGGATGCTTAATCATGCCACAAGGACATGTGCTCAACTATGTTCATAACAGCATTGTTTGTCATAGCCAGAAGCTGGAAACAACCTAAATGCCCCGCAGTCAAAGAATGGATAAGGAAAATGTACATTTACACAATGGAGTACAGCAGAAAAAAAAAATCGACATCTTGAAATTTGCAGACACATGGATGGACCTAGAAAACATTATTTTGAGTGAGGCAACCCAGACACAGAAAGACAATTATCACATGTACTCACTCATAGGTGGTTTTTAAACATAAAGCAAAGAAAACCAGCCTACAAACCATAATCCCAGAGAACCTAGACAACCATGAGGACTCTAAGAGAGACTTACATAGATCTAATCTACATGGGAAGTAGAAAAGGACAAGATCTCCTGAGTAAATTGGGAGCATGGGGACCTTGGGAGAGGGTTGAAGGGGAGGGGAGAGGAGAGGCAGGAAGGGGAGCAGAGAAAAATGTAGAGCTCAATAAAAATCAATAAAAATAAAAGAGTTCAGCTCAACAGTCTTTGCTTCATTCACGGATAGTGCATTGTCTCAATACGTTCTTAGAATATTTTCATCACCTCAGAAAACTTCTATATCCTTTGGTTACTTCCCTGCAGTCACCTCAAACTCTTCAGGATGAAGCAAGAGCTAACCTGCTTTCATCTGCCTCTACAGGTTTGTCCATCCTGGACACAGGTATTTGGACTCATGAGATGTATGTGGCCTTTTGTGCCTTACTTTTTTCACTTAGCACACCATCTTCAAGGTTCATCCCTGCCATGACGCATATTGCTGAATGATTTCATTCTGTAGATATGCCACATTTTATTTTTTTCCATCTTTGTTTACTAAAATATTAAATCCATCTTGTCAAATCTCTTGCTCACTGAGATGGCAATTTTTTCAGTTGTTATACAAATCTTTTCCCAATCCTATATTTCCATATTTTGATTTTTAAAACTCATTTTATTTTTATTTTGCATTTCAATCTGTAATTCACCTTAATTTCACCTGGGAGTTTTGTGAATTAGGAAGAGTTTCAAAGTACCCTATCCCTCCCCCATTATTTTCCAGGACTACCTGCTGATTCATCTTCTTACCAACCATTTCCTTTATTTTGTGGTGATTGACTTTTTTTGCTGTTTTAATTATTTTTAGAAGAATGCTTTTGAGACTAGTTCTAGTCTCAAAAATCAAGTGGAAAGTTTGAAGGTTTTCTACTTACATGCAGCATCCAACGCTATTAACAGCCAATACCGTGATGGCACATAGGTTTCAGCAGAGGAGCTTACACATCCACTGTCATGAACCCACTGTCCATCGCAGTGTGCCCTTGGTATTGTCTAGTTAGTGGATTTGGACAAATGTTTGATAACGTTTTGTGAAAAATACACTTACTACCCTAAAGAAACAAATCTATGCAGTCCAACTGGCTATTCCTCCCTCTTCCAAGACCTGGCTACCATAGATTTCTTCCTCCTCCTATACTTTTGTCCTTTTCTGAATGTCATATAGTAGAAGCCACACAGTCTATAGTCTTCTTTCGCTCAGTATCCTCCTTTGCTTTCTATTACTGTGATAAACACCATGACCAAAGAGCAGAAACCTGGAGGCAAGCACCAAAGAAGCAGAGATAAGGAAGATGAGCTCCCTGGCTTGCTGGCCTTGGCTTGCTCAGTTTGCTTTCTTATACCACCTGGGACCCCACCCACAGTGGGTTGGGCCTTCCCACTTCAATCATCAATGAAGAAGATACTCCCACAAACTTGCTAAGGAACCCTGTCTGATGGAAACATTTTCTTAGTTGGGATTCCCTCCTCCCAGATGACCCTAGCTTGTGTCAAGTTGACAAAAACTAGCCATTTTCAGTTCTCCTATGGGCTCATTTCTGTCCAGGGCTGTATTCCAGGATGGCTTGCTTGTGCTATTATTGTTCAGCTACTAGAGAATGTCTTGGTCGCTCCCAGCTTCTGGCAGCAACAGAGAAACTGTCATAAATGTCTGAGTGCAGGTTCTCAAGCTCTGGGGGAAATACAAAGAGTATGATTGTAAGTGTATTTAATCTGATAAGAAATTGCCGAAGTGCCTTCTGAAGTGGCTATACTGTGTTCGCTTTCCCACTAGTAGAAGGAGCCTGATGTTGCATGTCCTTGAAGACATTTGGTGTCATCTATATTTAGGTTTTGACCATTCTGATAGATGTGTCATGTCATGGTATGTCATTGCTACTTTGATTTTCATTTCCTGATAACATGGAGGTGACTCATTTTTCATGTGTGGGTTTGTCATCTGTATTTAGGCATACACGCAGTCTTGGGTATAATCTCAAAGGAGGCCTGTCAATCACTAAATGCTGCTTAGGAGCCCTGCTGAAGAGGTCTTGTATGTTCTCATCATTGTCTCACCATCTTTGCCATGCTCTTCACCTCGGCACACCTCTGCCGGCCTCATCAGAGTCTGTGTGCTGGCTTCATTTCTGGTACTGCGACTAAACACCCGGACCTAAGGCAGATTAGGAAAGAGGAGATTGTTTGGTTTACTATTCCAGGTTACAGACCACCATCGAAGGGGAAGCCAAGATAGGAACTCAAGCAGTGAGCCATGTCACGTTGCATCCACAGTCAAGAGCAGAGAGAAACAGATGGATCCATGCTTCCTGCTTCCCCTCATCTAACTTTCTCCTCTCCTTTGTAAAACTCTGGACTCTCTGCTTAGTGGATGGTGCCACCACAATGGCTGGTTCTTCCTACGTCAATTGGCAATCAAATAGCCCCCCCACAGACATGTCCACAGACCAAGCTGGCCTGGATAATCTCAGTCAAAGCTAACTTCTCAGGTGGTTCTAGGTAGTGGCATGTTAGCAGTAAAACAGCGTCCCCGTCTCCATCCCTGACCCGGCCAGCACGTGTTTGGCTGTGGCAGTGATCTGGAACCCACTGGTTGAAAATGATCCCTTCGTGATCACTGCTTCTCACAGAGGAGCTATGTTGGGTAGGTGGGACCTGAGTTCCTGTCACTTTCTGAAGTTTCTTGCAATCTTATAAAGTAGACAATTCCTTCCTGACTCCATTTTCCTCACCACCTTTGAGCCCTGCAGGGAATCCTGAGGTGAGGCTTCCAGAAGCCTGTTGGTTGAACCTGGACTTGCCTGCCTCAAACTTTTTGGCTTTAGCCCCTGATGCTGTCCCCTTGCTATCATTCTGGTCTCTGTCCTACAGAGTAGTTGATTTTCCCCATTGGGTCCTCTTTTGTGACTCAGTGAGTCACTCCCTTCAGTTTGGATTTGTGTGACACTCACAGCCGCTGTGCTTCCCGCATGGTAATGTGTGGGGCTTTGGGGTGAAGCATGTCTGCCAGTTCTCCTTTCCCTGCTCCCATTCAGTCATGTCCTGTATCCCATAGATTCTGGCTGTGACTCAGTAACTGACACGGAGCCCGAGGACGAGAGAGCTCTTCCTCTCTCAAAGCAGACAAGCCTGCCTTCGGAGACGTCGCCTGGGAACCTGATGGTGGTGCAGCCGGACCGCATTCGCTGTGGGGTAGGCATCCTGGGGGCCTGGTAGATCCCCATCAGAGCACTGACTTTGCAAGTCGGTGCCTTTGTTGCAGTAAAGGGTCTGGGGATATCGTGATGCTTCTTATTATAACCAAAACTGTCCCTTGAGGCCCACATCTCCAGGGCCTCGGATGTGAATAACTCCTTTAAGTCAGAGATTACACCTGGGAGTGTATGTATCATCAGTGCAAGAATTCTGGCTCATGAATGTATAACATAGGGCAGACAGGATTCCAGCAGACATGAACATTGTTAGATACTCCAGAGTTAGAGGCCTGAGCTCTTCCTGCTGGCCCAGCACTGGGAAGAAGTGGCATATTCTGGCAAACTGCTTCTTTATTAGCTGGACACTATCCTGGCCTCTTGGAGGGCTTTAGGTTTGATGGCTGAAACTTGCTGGCCAGAATTGCTTGCTAAAAAGATTGGCCAAATATCTAAGTCCTATGTGGCTAGCATTTTAGGGTGGTCATATATTCACAAATGAACTGTATGTGGGACTTCATGATAGTCATTTAAATCCTATTATAATATTTGATCATTTTCAGCATTTTTTCCTTCCCTGATTTAAAATGTGAGGCATTTTGAATAGGTTAGACTTGCAAAGCTTTCTTCATGGATGTGTGTTGTTTGCTACGCTTGCCTTTGCAGCTTCCCAGGACTATAGGGCACGAGAACTTTGGCGATGAGAAGTGTGAGGTCTGACCTCCTCTGTAGCTGAGGCCACAGATGCTGTGCAAGGGGTCCCTGCACAGGAGTTGCCAACATTTTTCAGACTGGATTTGACCCATAGACATGTTTGGTTTGAACTTCAGAGTGTTTTTAAAAATTAGGCATAAAATTTGGTGTTCCTTAGCTTCTTGCGAGTCAGAAACTGATATTAGGTTTGAGATAACTGGTGGTGGGGCTCTGTGCCTTTTTTTTTTATTGCACGGGACATGCATCTTCTAGCCTGGTCCCCACCATTCTCTGATCTTCATTTTTTATTTTTATTTGGGAGACTTTGAGACAGTTTTTCTACCTAGCTCAGGTTGACCTTAAGCTTGTGATTCTCTTGTCTCATTCTCCCCAGTGCTGGGACCACGCCTGGCCACTCCCTGTTCTTTAAACTCAGAGGGCTGCACTCTTCCCCTTCACGCTAGGCTCTGTGAACATTTCAGGCTCACTCTCCCAGTGCTATGTCTTCCCAGATTGTGTGGTCAGATGGCAGGTGCAGTGGTAAGGATGTGTGGGGCCTCTGTGTGCTTCATCCTGCTCGCTCTTCTTCCTGCCTTCTCTCAGCTGCCCTCTCACCCAGGATTAGCCTCATTGCCTCCTCTAGGTCTACGGGCCAGGGGTGCCTGGGCTGGGGGTGGGTCCTGACTGCCAACAGGACTGACACACATTTTTTTAGGCTCCTCATCTTAATGAGACAAGGCACAGGACCAGGTGTGTAGCCGGAATGCTGACAGCCACAGAGTGTGTGTTTGGTTATAACAGCCTTAGCAATCTGAACCACACACCTTCCCCTGTTACAAAGCCCAAGCCTGGCACACCCTTCTGCAGCCCTTTGTAAAGGGTTGCCATGACAACTATATCATAGTCCTGGAATGAATGATTGAGGACTAACTCTGACCAGAAATCGCTTCTCACCTTTCTGGTTTGGGGGAGGGCCCAGCCCTACTGGTTTTGTCTAAAGTGGCAATTGCCAAGTCCAGGAAGAAGTTGAGTATCCCTTACTCAAAAGGCTAAGTACCTGAAGTGTCTCAGATTTTGAATTTGGGGGGGTTAGAGAGATGCTGGATTATTTGCATATGTATAACAGGATATGTTTTAGAACAAAGTATATTTTTGTTTCATATACATGTTATACATAGCCTGACAATAGTTTTACACAACATGTTGTCACCCTTGTATTTGGGTTTTGGATGTGTTAAGTGTGGAATTTTCCCCTTGTGGTGTCAGGTCAGAACATATTTGGATTTGGGAGTTTGGATGAGGACTGTTTTGTGAGGCTCAGTGTGGGGTCTTAAAGTCAGTTGGGCATCTGGCCAAAATGTAGACTCTGGGGCCGGGGATGTGGCACAGGTGGTAGAGTGCTTGCCTAGCATGCGTGAAACCCTGGGTTTGATTCCCAGCACCACATGAAAAACTGGGCATTGTGGTGCTTACCGATCAATCAGACTAGTAATTGGGAGGTGGATATGGGGAGTCCGGTGTTCAAGGTCACCAACTGCATAGCAAGTATGAGGCTAGCCTAAGCTACATGAGAACCTGCTTATGAGGCTAACCTAAGCTATATGAGATTCTGCTTCTAATTTTTTTTGAAGTATAGCCCCTGATTCAGTGGCAGGAAGTACCTCATAGTTTGCCTGACTAACTTGCTGCAAGGGTGGCAATGATGTTGGTAACTTGGTCACATGCAATAGCAAAGCTTGTCTAGAGAAGAGTTTCTCATATCTGGGGGGAAGGACTTAAAAAATAAATAAAATCTTCCAGGCATGGTGACACATGCCTTGAATTCCAGTAATTGGGAGGCAGAGGAAGATGTACCTATAAATTCAAGGCCAGTCTGGTCTACATAGCAAGTTCAGGACAGCCAGGGCTACACAATGAGACACTGTTTCAAAAATAAAAATCCAATTATTTGATGCTATAGAGATTTTGTAAAAAACCAATTTTTTTCTGCTTAAATTTTTTGAAACTTTTCATAAATATATTTTGTTCATATTCTTTCCCCTCCCCCAACTCCTCCCAGATTCTTCCATCAAACTTCATATACTTTCTCTCAAAAAGAAAAAGAAAAGAAAACAAAAAATCCCATTGAAACTATCCCCAAAACAAGCACATAAAACCATGGAGTCAATTTTGTATTGCCCAACTACTGAGCATGAGGCCTGTCCTGGAGTGTGGTTGATATACCTCCTTAAATTTTGTTGGAGAAAACTGATTTTCCCTTTCCCAGCAGGTATCTATCTGTAGGTAGAAGTTCTCACAGAAGCCGCTTCCAAATTTACCACACAGAGGCTTATATTACTTATAAATGCTCGGCTGATAGATAGATAGCTCAGTCTTATTACTAACTAGCTCTTACATTTTAAGTTAACCCATATTTCTTATTTACACTCTGCCATGTGGCAGGACCTTTATTAGCATGGCATGTTCATCTCCTGCTCCCTCTGCATCTGACTGGTGACCCCTGACTCTGCCTCTCTTTCTCCCGTCATTCCCCATTTGATTTCCCACCTAACTTGATCCTGTTCAGCTATTGGTCAGTCAGCTTGTTTATTAAACTAATCATAGCAGCATACACTCACACAGTGTAAAGGAATATTCCACGGCAGGAATATTCATTGTAAATAGCTTTTTGCTGATGGGAGGACTTTGTGTTCACTTGTGTTTCTCCACATTGGGAGATCTGACTTGAACGTCTGCAGATCTTGTGCATGCTGCCATGGTCTCTGAGTTCATATGAGCATCAGCCCTGTATCTGAAAAACACTGTTTCCTTGGCACTGTATACTGCTGGTTCTTACAATCTTTCTACCTCCTCTTCTGCACAGATCCCTGAACCTTGAAGGAAGGGGCATGGTAAAGGCATCCCAGTTAGGGCTGAGTACTTCAATGCCTTGATCACTCTCTTCATGTTCAGATGTGGGTCTCTGTGTTAGTTATCATCTACTGCAAGAAGAAGCTTCTGTAATGAAGGCTGAGCAATATACTGATCTATAGGTATAGCAATATGTCATTAAGGCCATTTAATTGCATTTAGCAGAGTAATAGTGAGTTTTCCTCTAGTACCAATGACCTATGTAGTTTTCAGTTCTTGACCTCATTAACATCGTCAGCAATAGATTCTATCTCATGGAGTGGGCCTTAAAACCCTCCCCCCTTAAGTGGTTGGTTACTCCCTTAACATTTATGCCACTGTCTCATCAGTATGTCTTGCAGGCCACTGTTGTTGATTGCAGAGTCTATAACTGGGTGATACTGGTTGACGATTGCTTTTCTCCTCCAGTGGTGAATAGAGCACCTTCCATCACTGTGAATGCTAATCAGTAGGGGTGAAGCTTCTAGTTGTGCAGCAGCCTGGTCTCTCGGTGTTTGATGACATATGTGTCTTCAGCAATAGGGTCTTAGTGTCAGGTTGTAGAGGGTAACCAATAGCATTGGCAATAGCCGGTAAAGGTTTTTAGGGGGTGATCTGTGGGATCACATCAACCAAAAACTCAAAAAGATGATCACCCATTTCTGGTACCGGGGCTTTTACTTGGTAGCAAATGATATCTAGTTGAGGCATTGTTTAAATGGAGTATAGTAACTCCATTTAAGTTGCTTTTATAGATGTATAAGTTTTAAAAGCATTTTAAAATGTTATAAATGAAATGAGCATCTATAAATCCTAAGTTTAAAAGAATTGTGTGTGTGTAATGAATAGACAAAGTTTCTGTCCAATTGCTGTAAAAGTTTATAACTGTCTAGTCTATTTTCCATAAGTTGCTTCACTAGGTTGGTAGCCTGTGGTTCTCTGTCCAGCACTGGTCTGTCCAAACCTTCTGGCCAGGACCATTCACACTAGAGAGTGAGCTGGGTCTCCAGGAGCTGGGACATTCTTGACCCAGCTCCGTAAGGGACACAGCAGGGAGAGACACCAGAACCTGTCTCCCCCTCCAGGCAGAAACCACTGTGTACGTCATTGTGAGATGCAAGCTGGATGAGAAGGTGTCGACAGAGGCAGAGTTTTCCCCTGAGGACTCGCCCTCCGTCCGGGTGGAGGGCACGCTGGAGAATGAGTACACGGTTTCGGTGAAGGCTCCAGGTGAGTGGCCCCGCGCTGACAGAAGAGTGTGCGCTCCACTGCCTTCTGAAACACTGCTCTTCTCATGCTCACCTGCCGAACCATCTCCAGCCCTAGGCATTGCTGGCTTTTCAAAAAGCAGCGTGTGCATTGTTTTAATTGCACGTCCTGGATTGTCAGTGAGATTTAATAATTTTCCACATTCATGATTCGTCACATTTCCTCTTTGGTGAATCGAATCTTTGTGGTTGGTGTATTTTTAATTTTTTTCTTCCCCCTCAGAACCTCTTCCGGTGGTATAGACTCCTACTCCAGGAAGAGCACGTAGTACAGACAGCCACAGAGCAAGTCAGCTGATTCCACTGGTCCATGGTGGCAGAAATAAAGAGTTATCCTCTGGCCACCAGGATGCTAGCCCTTGGTGACAATGGGCCTTCATACAAAGCACCTTAGACCCTAATTATTTTTGTTGCTGTTATTCATCAAGGCCTGAGGAATTCAGTAAAAACAGGCTGGAGAACTGGCTCAGTGGTTAAGATGTCAAACTCTTGCAGAGAAACCAAGTTCAGTTCCAAGTATCACATTGAACCCTTCACAACTGCCAATAGCTTAGTCTCTAGGAGGATCCTATGCCTGGCCTACATAGGCATCTGCACCCATGCATGCATGCACACATGTGTGCACACACACAAGACTGATAATTATGCAAAACAGATGAAAACCCTTTAAAAATGCAATTGACAACCAGATAAGGATGCTTCTGTTTAAGATCCCACATGCTGTCTGACTCATCTCCCCCTTCATTTCCCTTCCAGCTCAGCTCAGACACTTCCTTGCAGCCCCTGTGAGCTGCCTTTCCACTCACACGTACCACGGCTGCCCATGGCCTTATTCTTCCTGGCATTTTATCACTATCTTTTGTTCTGTTTAGACCTCTCCTCTGGCAATGTTTGTCTGAAGGTCTATTCTGGGGACTTGGTGGTATGTGAAACCACCATCAGCTATTATACTGACATGGAGGAAATTGGGAACTTACTGTCCAGTGCTGCAAACCCTGTGGAGTTCATGTGTCAGGTAAGGCTGCTGGGAGGAAACCTGAGCTTTCTGGATACAGGGATTCTGTCTACAACCTTGACGGGCAGCGCCTAGCTGGAATCTGAAACCTGACCATCTTCGCTGTTTCATGCAGGCCTTTAAGATTGTGCCCTACAACACAGAGACTCTTGATAAACTGCTCACGGAGTCCCTGAAGAACAACATCCCTGCAAGTGGACTGCACCTCTTCGGGATCAACCAACTGGAGGAGGAAGATATGATGACAAGTAGGTCAACAGCCATTTCGGTCTTCGATGGTGTGGCCTGCTACACGCCTGGGCAGTGTGATGTGGGAAAGGCAGTTAGCTTGTTGCCTGCTAGCACCAAGGTGAACATAAAGACAGGGAATGAAGTCTAGCAGTATGTGTGAGGATGATGCTGTCATGGCCCAGCATGCTCTCTTACAGCAATTTTTTTTTAATAATTAGCAATATAGTCTAAAATAATGATAGAAAATATGGTAAGAAGCCCGTGACATAATCATGCACTGTCATCAAGTATGTTTTGGTGTACATAATTATGTGCGTCATACTTTTATATGACTGACAGCCAGCCCAGTGGGGCCATGCACACCAGCACTGTCACCAGCAGTGAGAGCTGCAGCATGGATAGGGGATAGGAGCTTGTCAGCTTTGTTCTAACCTGGGAAGACTTCTGTGTCATAAATGTCATGACACAGCACACACTCCCTTCTAAAAATGTGCGTGGTTCTCATTTACCTTCTGGGTGGCATTTAAACTCCTTTGCCTGATAATAAGCGCAAAGGACGGCTGCTTGCTTCTGTCCTTGCCTCTGTATGCAACCCTCTCTCTGCATCCCTCTCTCTGCATCCCTCTCTGTGTATCCTTCTCTCTGCATTCCTCTCTATGTATCCTTCTCTCTGTATCCCTCTATATGCAACCCTTTTTCTGCATCCCTCTCTCTGAATCCTTCTCTATGAAACCCTCTTTCCTCATCCCTCTCTCTGCAGCCCCCCTCTTAGTGGTTCTCTGTTCCCACGTGGGATAAATACACTTCTTGCATATGTGTCTTGCCATCCCACTCGCGGAAACACCTTTTCTCTGTCCCTGCCTTGGTTGCCGTTCTCCTGGTGGCTTTCTCTTCATCCTCTCGGGTGGAAGGAAGACCTTCACCAATCCCCCAAGGGTCTATGCCACCCTTGCGGCAGGCTCCTCTAGCAGGTTGGGCCTTCTGACCTACAGCTTACCTGCTGTAGTGTCTTTTCACTGGGCTGTCAGCTCAGTGAGGGTCGTCCTCAGGCTGGCTCTCTGTGGTCTTTAGGCAGACATCTGTAACTTGAGCGAGGAGCAGGCCCTATGTACATACACTGTGGTAGCAATAGGAGCCAGGACAGTCACACCACATGCCTGGGGATGTTACCTGGAATGCTGCGCAGGATTCCTTCCCATCACAGTGGCACTTCGCAGTGGTACACAAGTCTCTGGTTACCTTTCTGAGCTTTCTGAGTTCTACTTGCCTGCAGTGTGGTAACTGTAGGAAGAGAATTACCTGCCAGGCCTTTTTACAGGGTCATTCTCTTTCCTGATGCCTCTCCTCATTCTCCTACTATGGAATGTTCTTGTCTCATTGCTATAAATGAGTCTATTTCTCTTCTTCTGAGGCCCAGGAGAGAGTATCTCATAGCCTGACAACATGGGGACCTGGGGGCATTTTCAGACCTTCGGTGAACAGGAAACTGAATTTATCATTTTTAAAAGGACATGAGAGGTGGCTCAGTGGTTAAATCACTGTCCACATGAGCAAGAGTATAAGAGGTTTAGATCTTCGGAATTCCTTATATGCCAAGTGGGCACGATGATCCCATTTGCCCCAGTCTGAGAAGGCCAAGACAGGCCATCTGGAACAAGCAGGCTAACTGTGTTGGGTTTGAGGGAGAGATCCTGCCTCAAAGAATAAGGTGGAAGAGTGACAGTGGAAGATTCTCGACATCATCCTAGGCCTCCACACATGCATTCACACCGACCTCCCCTTATAGACGCCTACATACTTGCAAATACACATCCACACATGCACTATACCTCACACACATATATGGAAAGAAGAGAAAATAAATAAACACATAAAGTGACAGGGCCTAGAAATCAACTTTTATGAAAAGGAAAAAATAAATTTTATCCCCTGAGTCCCCAGCATGAGCCTACTTGTTTTCTTGGCATATTTACAAAACTGGTAACGAGAGATAAGTAGATGGTTCTGTTTGAACATTTTTCCTTTATTTTTATTCTGTGTGTATGGGTTGTTTTGCCTGCATGTATGTCTGTGCACCATGTGTACAGTGCTCTCAGAGGCCAGAACAGAGGCACTGGAGTTAGAGATAGTTATGAGCCACCCTGTGAGTGCTGGGAATCAAGCCCAGGTCTTCTGGAAGAGCAGCCAGTGCTCTTAACTTCTGTGCTGTCCCTCCAGCTGGGATCTTCTTTCTCTTAGCACAAGACAGTAGTTTCAGATCTGTGCTGAGTGTTGCAGAGAAGAGCAAAATAGGATTCCCAACCCACTCTTTGGCTGCTGTTTAAGCCCTAGAAACCAGCATGGCTTGAGGTTGGAAATGTAGCTCAGGGGTAGAGCACTCACTCAGTACCTCAAGCCCCAAGTTTAATCCCTAGCCCCAGGGAAAGAAAAAACAAAAGTCAATGTCTTCTAAGGATTTTCTACCTCCTTAAAGCAGACAATGTGTTACTCAGTACTAGAGCTATTAACTAAAATATCATTTCCTTCATCATGTGAATGCAGGAACTCAGAGGTTCCCTAGAAGAAGTTATCAGATGTTGGGGGAGTTTTCCCATCCCGGGAGCTGCTTCCAAATTGCCACACAGAGACTTATATTAATCATAAATACTTGGCCAATAGCTCAGGCTTGTTACTAACTAGCTCTCAAATTTTAAGTTAACCCATATTCCTTATTTACCTTCTGCCACGTGATGGTACCTTTATTAGCATGGCATGTTTGTCTCCTGCTCCCTCTGCATTTGGCTTGTGACTCCTCTGACTCAGCCCTTCCTTGGTCCATCATTCTCAGTTTGGCTTTCCCACCTAACTTTATCCTGTTCAGTTATTGGCCAGTCAGCTTGTTTATTAAAGCAATCATAGCAACATATATTCACACAGTATATAAAAAGATTATTCCACAGCAACCAGGAGCTAGGTCAGCCAGTCAGTAAGCAATGATTGAGCACCTACTGCTTGCCATACTAAGGCTCAACAGCCTCTGGGAGCAAAGGTGTCCTATGTCTTCCCTCTTACCCTTCAGTTAAAGTCTCCCTGATGCCTTTATTTAGATCAGAGGGATGAAGAGCTGCCCACCCTGTTGCATTTTGCTGCAAAGTACGGATTGAAGAACCTCACCGCCCTGTTGCTCACCTGTCCAGGGGCTCTCCAGGCATATAGTGTGGCCAACAGGCATGGCCACTATCCCAACACCATTGCTGAGAAACACGGCTTCAGGGACCTGCGCCAGTTCATCGACGAGTATGTGGTAAGGTCAGGGGGAGAAAGGCCCTGTGATAGGTCACATACTGGTGGTTCCAGGCCTGCCTTTTCATCAAAGACACTGATGGGTCTTTGTCTCTAACATGTCCTCATGTGTTTCTCTGGCAGTGGGCAGTTTTTGTGGGCCTGAGTTCAAATTCCTGTACCTACTTGGTAGCCATGTGAGACTTTGGGCATGTCACAAATTCTTTCTCGTTCCTCTCTAATTTAGTCTTATTTTTTGTATGAGTGTTTCTATTGTATGTATGCATGCCTGGTGCCCCCAGAAGAGCACATCAGATGCCCTGGAACTGGAGTTGTTTATTGTTGTGGCTGCCATGTAGGTCCTGGGAATAGAACCCAGGTCCTCTGCAGGAGCAGCAAGTGCTCATAACCGTTGAGTCATCTTTCCAGCCTCCTTCTCCCATTTCTTAATATGTGGAAGGAAAGATCTTAAGAAGTCTGTTCATAGAGTTGTTTTAGACTAAAAGGAACTATCATATGCAAAACACTGAGGCCATTTCCAAAACATCGACGGGAACTTTCACGTAATGAGTCTATTCAAGGCTGATGCTGAGCCCTCTCCCCACTTGTCTCCAAGGCTCTGTGGTGGATGACCCTAGCTGCCTTGGCCACCTTTGGGCCCAGATAAACTGTGTTAGAATTAACTCCTTCCTTGGTGAAGGCCATAATAAGGCTCTACCCCGAGGAAGCATCCAAGTGGCCAACTTTGAGACCTCATCTCCTGCTAGCATTCAGTTTCTCTCTGAGCCTCTGCTTGGATCTGAACTTAAGGCAGCTGGATATACCCAGCCTTCTTGGCAGCTTACCCTTGGTCGCCGACTTCCGAGTCCTGCTCTGAGTTTAATCCTGTGCCATGCCTGGGTGTTGTTTTGTCCAGGATTGCCTCCATTGTCTTGGAGGAAACAGTTTTTCATTCCACTACATTCTGATATCCCTCCTTCTTTTCCAACTTACAAGGGGCACCCAAGACTATCTCATCTGACTGTGACCACCAACATAAGCAGTCAGACTAATGTGGTCTTGCTTGCTACCTCCAGACAGAAGTGAGTCTGACACCACTTCAGAAACTTTACTCTGTGATAGAAAATCTAGAAGGTAGTGAGTGATGCCAAGGAACATAAAAGGGCTTCCGATGTTTTGGGGGATTTGTAGGTGTTTCAAGCAATCAGAATAGTTTAGGTCCTTGTTTGGGTCCTCATTGGCATAAATGGGCATAAAGATGCTCATAACCTTCTTTAAGACTTTATTTCAAAATCTCAAATGTGCTGAACACAGCATGCCATTTTTGTGTTCATCATTTTCGGCAAGGCCACTCTGCGTTCAGGGTAGTAACCAAGTTACTGGGCTCATTTGATCAGCAAATGCCCTGTCTCAGGTAACTTTCTCCACACTCCCTTCAAGTTGAAGGGACTAAGACCTTCATCTTATAAATAAGGATGGAGAAAGCCAAGGTGAATGTGCCTAGAGCATCACTTTGAAAAAGGTAGAGGTAAGATTTGAACCTTGTTCAGTGCTGTAGTCAGGGCTTCTTATCTTGCTCTGACTCGCATTTCTTGTGCCATCTTGGCTCCTAGCAAAGTCACCTTCCACCAATGCATCTTTTGCCTTGACACCAAAGGCTGTTCCTTCATGATGCTCATGGAGTGTCAGGTTTTATTTATTTGTTTGTTTGTTTGTTTGTTTATTTGTCAAATGCTACCCCTAGAGTCCCCACCACTAAGAACCTGTTTCTTAGTTCATTTGGTTCTCACCAAGAAAAAAAACACACTATCAACCAAAAGTGACCTCTGGCAGTTGGTGCTGATGAGGAGGGTTTCTGTGGTTTGAGGCTGAGGTAAGGATTGTGACACACTACCATGTCTGGCCAGGAAAAGTTGTTCAGAGGTTGTAGGGAAGTCAGCCTCAAACCTCTGGAGGCAGAGGGACGGGGAAGCCTTTCTGATGTCCACGCCCTTTATGTGAAGGCAGCTGTCTTTGGGGACATCTTAAATATTGAAACTGGGGGAGGAAACCCTAGAAGTTGTCAGACACTTGGATAAACCTTCCTGAAGGACAGGGATGGAGACATCCCCCGGGGACCTCTGACTGCACAAGTCTGGGAACATCTCAGCTTAGCCCTACCAAACCACTGTGCATCTGTGTGGCTCCGTGTGTCATTTGTTTCCCCCTGAGCCTTTACTGGGATATTAGTAAAAGGATCAAAATGGAGATTGTAATACCTTACAGGTGTTACAAGGTGTAATATCTTATACCTTGCAGGAAGACCAGGTTTTCTGGACTTTGCTTTTTCATCTGTGAATGAGGGAGAGTGGTGTGCCTTTCAAAGGATAGCGGGCGCAGAAGTGTGCCCACTGGTGAGCCTGATTCTTACTAGATACTCGTGAGGGAGCAGTTTTTATGTATGTATGTCCTCCCGAACCAGGATGTAAGTTCTTAACTCTGTGATTAATGTCGAAGGAAGATACAGAGATTAGAACAAGAAGGGTTAGGCAAAGAAGAGAAGAGGGCCTGCTGCCTGGCTCCACAGAGCTTCCTGTCAGGTGGAGAATGCTGATACCCACAAGCCATTGTAACCCTGATCCGTGACTACTCGCTTCGCCCACCTCAAGCCCACTTGGGGCCGGAGTCTTCCCGGCTAGCCGGGAATGTGGTGTGCACCGAGTCCATCTTTCCTTGCAGGAGACAGTGGACATGCTGAAGAGTCACATTAAGGAGGAGCTGATGCATGGCGAGGAGGCTGACGATGTGTATGAGTCCATGGCCCACCTGTCCACAGACCTGCTCATGAAATGTTCCCTCAACCCTGGCTGTGACGAGGAGCTGTATGAGTCCATGGCTGCCTTTGCCCCAGCAGCCACAGAAGACCTCTGTAAGTACCTCGGCCTAGTTCTGCTTCTCATCCTGTTGCTCAGAAATGGCTTTCTTCGTTCTAGTCCAGAGGGGGAAAGCCCCTGATTACCTCTGCAACCACCACTGTGAAGATCCTGTGTTGCAACAGCATCAGGGCCGCAGTCATGTTTCATAACAAGCAGAGCCCTTCTCCCAGCTTCCTCTACCGCACCGCTTGCCTGGAAGTCACTAGTCTTGACTGCATGGTCTTCCGATCAAGAAGCTCTCGGCTCCATCAGTCTGGACGGGCCCTTTTTATAATAAGCATTTTGCAATGCCCCTCCCTGCTTTCCTATCTGACATGCAATTCATGTATAACATGACTTACTCACACATGAAGCTCTCTGGCTTTGTTACACTGTCCTAATGAGTTGTAAAAGGGGAATGAGTGGAAAAGACACACTTAGACATGCCTGCCTGTAAAATATGAAATAGCCCCTCCCTGTGCTGGCAGCCACACTCAGAGCCACTGACAAGGGTCTTCAGAGCAGCCTTTAGGGGACGGTGTGCCACCCTTCAGAGACGCTGATCTAAATGAGATTGGATTTCAGTGGCGAGGCTGGTGGGGAGGTGGTGGGCACAGCTGCACCGCCATCCCGATACTTCTTGAGGCATCATTACTGTCATTTACTATGGAGTGCTAAGCACTCTGAAATGCTGCCCACTCTTTCCCGCCAGATCTACTTAATAGATTCAAGAAAGACAAGTTAAATATCCACCAACACATCGGCTTCATGGTTGGCAAGATTTCTGGGAGGGCTAAGCTGAGTACTGCTACCCTTTCCGGACTTGCAGGGGAGGAAGCCTGGCTTTCCCACACATGAGCTTATGGAAAAGGCACCAGAAGGAGTCCTTAGAGTAGGAGGCCCAGGCTGACGGGGAACCAGAGGTGAAGTCCCCTCCTAACTCTTTTGGGGAGAAGAAGCACACCTGGAGACTCTTCACGGGCTCTGAGGAGGGAGGCATGGTCCACACCATCCACACCCTTTATCTCACTGACTCCTTGTGATGGCCCTACAGGGAGCTGTTCCTAGCTGCTCTGAGGAAGTATCAACAAGGAAACTGAGGCATAGAGAGATGAACTTGCCCCAAATGCTCTAGCTAACATTCTGCATTGCACAGATTCCATACTTTTTAACCCAAGCCAGAGTTTTGTCTTTAACATGAGGCATTTGGTACTGGTCACCTTTAGAAAACCTCTCCACCCCTAGGCTGTCCCCCCCATCTGCACATCCAGAAGCTGGCTTACAAAACAGCCTAAAGCTGCTTGTGCCTATGATTCCAGCACTCAGGAGGAGACTGGAGGATCAAGACCAGCCTGGGTTACAAAGAGACTTTGTCTCAAATGCAAAACCCTCCCTCAAACAAACAAACAAACAAGAAGCCCCAGCTGCGGACACCCCCTCCCCTCATAAGTCTGCTCACCCACATTCATACCTGGCGGGTGTTTCTAGGGGGCATTTCTGTTCCATCTGCTAGATTCTTCCTTGGGTGTTGGAGTTACAATAGACCGAAACTTGTCTTTTCCCACTTTAGAACAGGAACTCATTCACAAAACAACCAGCAGAAAGACCTCTTTAGGATTCCAGACACTACCCCTGCTTTCTGCCATGTTTCCTGACTGTGGGACTGTTGAACAATGAGAGAATCCCTGCTTAATGATAGTGCATATTCATGGCCTTCATGTGTAGATGCTCCAAAATATGAAAGTCCGCCGCCATATCCCAGGATTCCTGTAAAGGGTGCAAAAGCACCCACGTTGTCACCTGAAACAGGCTCGCCAGAACCTGAGGGTGCTGTGGGGCTAGGCTGTTTGTGACTAGATGGCACCTTGTAGAGTCCCTTGGGGTCAGGAGGTTCTGGATGTCGCAGACCCAAGGAGGCTACCAGGAGGGAGGCAGGGTGTAAGGTGTGGCCGCTCTTTGGGTGGGGAATGAATTGATCAGAGTTTTAACTTGCCAGATCATATAATCTCTGAGGTTTTGGACCGTGGCCATGATTAGATTTGTTTCTCTCTGTGGTTGTCTGGTTTAACCCGAGAATGATCTCTTCCCTGCTGGTTCACAAGATGCAGCAACTCGGGCCTGGGAAGAATCATTTTACCGATAGTGACTGCCTGCATGAGAGGGCAGTTCGATCTCCAAAGAAACAGGATAGAGGGCAAGCAGATCCATCCCAGAAGCTGGGGCCGCACTAGCACGGTGATGGCCACGGATTCGCCCTCCCTTTGTGTAGACCAGCAGTTTGTCTCTGTTGTCTTACCCACTCATCCTCCGCCGTGATGGACAGAATCGAATCTACTGTATAGGGAGGAAACCAAAGGCTCCGATAGTTGATAACGTTCTTAAGTCCATCAAGGGAAAACCAATTTAGGAATCTGAGTCTTCTGGTTCCTAGAGGAAAGTCTGTCTGCCCACCACACTGGCAAAGGGACCTCCTGGTCTGTCCTTCTGGGGTTGCATTTACTGTCCTTGGGATGGACTCTCCTCAGGAACTGCTTCTGTATGTCTAAATGCGGGGTTTGTCAGTGCAAATGCGGGGTTTATCAGTGCCTACCTTCGCTGCCATTTGTAATGGTAAATTTTAAATGCTGAAAAGCAATATTTGGGGAATTCACTCACTACCTAGGCATTTCACTGGCTCCCAGGACGGTATCACAGAGTACAAAGCTTTAGACCAGTTACCGTGGAGAGCCCATGAGTGTGGTTGGGACAAATCTGCCCCTTTAATTGCTTAGGTTTGGGAAAGGGTATAATGAATACCTCTTCCCCCAAAGGGAACCCCAAATAACCACAGGGCAGCTCCCAGTGTTTAATCAAGGGGAGGTGAGAGGAAGTGCCAGGGGTCTGACCTGGAGATTAAGGCTCTGTTCCACTCCCTCCTTTCCCGGACACACACACACACACACACACACACACACACACACACACACACACACAGAGTCTTCAGTTTAGATATGCTGCCACCAGGTGGTAACTTCACGTCTCTGTTTACAGGCCTTCAGTTTTTCTTCTTTTTAACCGGAGTCTTAAACCATCAGCGTAACTTGCACCCTTTTCTGTGTAAGAACTCCCTTTGTTAAGAATAAGCGAGATACATCATGGGATAAAATCAAGGTACCCTCGTGTTATGTGTTTTCACTACCCCCTAATTCTCTTGCTTGGTTCTTGTGCCTCCATCCTTGCTTTTGAGGCTGAATTATGATGGGAGTCAGTCTTTTCTTATTTTCAGCTTCACCCAGAGTCTCTGATCTGGAGACCTGGTGAGCCAGTGCCTGGAGGCCCTCGTCCAGTCTGTTTCCAGGGTAACCCACGGGCTTATAGCTTTGCTTACTTACATATTGCCGAGGCTCAGCCTTTCCCACAAGTGAATGGAGTAAGGCACATTATGCTGCTAGGAACTACAGACTCACCGGAGGTGATGAAATCCTAGAGAACCCCCTATTGCCTTAGAGTAACTTTTCTTAACTCCTGACCTTTCTGGGACCTGCCCCAGTCGAGGTTTGCATACGGCAGTGCACCCCTGGTTTGGCCCCAACTATCTTACTGGAACAGCTCCCTAGTAACTGGGGTCTTGTGGCAAATCATCTCCAGTCTGTGGTTTCTTTTACATGAGCTCTTTGAGTTTACCATCCCTTCTGAGAGTCAGGTTCTTTCTGATCTGGGGACACAGCTGGGCACTGAGAAGGACCCTGCACCCAGGCCTGCAGGTCTCACTCTAAGCAAAACTGCCAAGTTATTTATTGATGGGCTTCTGAGACATGCCTCACACTCCGTCGGCACTGTCTTCTCTCAGGAGTCTCCCCTCCTGCAGCCACAGAAGATCTGTCTTTTCCTTGCTGACCTGTTTGAGATGATTCTGGTGAGTGGACCCTGGAACTACTGCAGGGGCATTAGTTCTGGGCACAAGGTCAGATGTATGCTATCTAGGGGTCAGGTCGGGACTCTGTGCACTTCTTGATCTCCTAGTGCTTGGTGAAAGCACCGGGTCAAACGTTTTAAGGTTGATAAGATAGAATTCTCTCCCACCGGCAGTCGGCTTTGCTCCCCTTCGGACCCAGTTGACAGACTATGTTTCCCCTGGGGCGCTGCACACCGATCACCACGAGCCCTCATTGATTGTGTCTCTCTGGTTATGAGGCCCTGGCTTTGATAGGAAGAATGACTTACAGCTTTGTGTCATCCCCAGCACCCAGCCCAGCGCTGAGCATTAGATGTGCTCAGCCAGTAGAGAGCCTGGAAAATAAGATGTGATCCTGGACTTTGTGGCAGTTCAAATGTAGATTAGATGTCTACATCCTAATGCCATGCCCTTGGTTTTTGTCTTTTGTTTTGACAGATGTAGTGAGATATTGATTAGGTTGCTGTTGAGTGTGAGACCTCCAGGGGGTCATAACTCCCTGGCTGCTTCGGGCTGCCTTTTATTTCATGTGACATACATTATACTAGTTCTTCTGCCTGAACTGCATACCTTTTTCTCTGCTGGAGCAATGCCTAGACTCCTTCACAAAGGCCAGACTCCACTTCATCATGTACTTATTTCTTTTTATTCATACATTTTTCACCTACTCACCCATTCAACAAATCCTTATTAAATCTGTCTGGTGTATAAGTAACATGGTGCCAGGTGACAAACAGCCAGTGAGTAAACTGTCATGATTCCTGCCTTCCAGAGTCTACATTCCACAGACCCCACCACAAGCACATTCCATGGATCTGCTCCCATATGACAGGGCCGCTTTGATCTGTTGTAGAATAATCTTTTTGTACACTGTGGAAGATGTGTCCTTGCCAAGGTGCCTTCTTATTGGTTTAATAAAAAGCTAAATAGCCATTAGCTAGGTGGGAAGTATAGGCAGGACAGCCAGTCACAGAGGATGCTGGGAAGAAGGGCAGAGTCAGGAGATGTCATGAGACACAGAAAAGGCAGGATGGGAAGTAAGTACATGAGGTAAATGAGCCTTGGGGCAGCACATAGATG